AAAGCAATACAAAACAAAACAAAACAAGCCAAAAGGACATTTGAAAAGGCAGCAGGGACCACAGAACAGGAACTACCCCTACAATGCCTCCCCTCCATCTGGTGGAAATGCAATCTAAATGAGGGTTTCTGTATTTAAATTATATTAATGAAAATTCAGGTTATCTCTATTCTCACTAAATTAATATTATACAAATAATTAAAGAATAATATTTTGAATGTATGCCAAACTTTCAACTGACGCAGAGCACCAAATGATCAGCCTGAGGGGGCCCCCAGGTCTTCCTCTGCCTCTGCCTCTAAAACCCAAAGGGAAACAAGCAAACTGAAACTCTCTTCAATATTTCACATTAATTTAGATAAGCATCTCTTTCCACTAATAACAACTGTATCATAAGTCTCAGTCCAAAGTCCGAAATTTTAAAATTAGTGAGATCATATTGCTGTTTATTAACAAGGTAAGATTGTAAATTAAAATTAAATCAATGTCTTCCTTTCTAACTATTCACGTTGGTTGATTTAATGGTACTGCAATTTCATCAATATAACAGCCCAATTCATAGAATAATCAATTTACGATTCTCTTAAATTTTATGTAGTTTAAAGGCAATGGCCTTTGTGAAGTTTTTTCCCCTGGAATGTTTCTCATTTAACTGGTGGCAATAGCTGTAGGACTATTGATCCAGTTACTCATTTTTTCAAAAAGCACAGTTCCTCTTTGCACACAAAGTTTTTAAAAGAAAAATTAGATGTGTCTGAACTCCTCTCCACCTGCTGAGGGGGAAGGAGCCTCTACGTGGCTTGGTGATGAACTTTGTGTTTCTCAGTAGGGTACAGCCTGGAGAGGAAAAATTGCAGAAGCTAAATTCCTTTCCATAAGAAAAAAAAAATGAAAAAATACAAAGAAAAGATCTTAGAAAGGGGAAAAAGCAGCATGGGTGGCCAGTAAAGCAAGGGCAATGTAGAGGACCACAGTGTTCTCAAACTTGAGCGTGGATCAGGTTCTCCTGGAAAGAATCATAAATTGATTATTAAACGAATCTTAAAACACAGATTGCTTGCCGCCACTGCCAGAGTTTCTGTTTCAGTAAGGCTAAGACATTGCTTAATAATCTGTGTTTCTAACAGGTTCCCAGGTGATGCTAATGCTGCTGGTCCAGAGACTTCCCAGCTGAGCAACCATCCCTGTCTGCCTGGGACTAATGGATTTCTCAGAACTTTTAAGGCTAAAACTGGAAAGTCTCCAGAAAACCAGGAAGATTGGTCACCCTGTATCATATCTCCAAGATATTTTCAGTAAAGGGCTAAAATACTGGCTAATTCTTTTGTACCAAATTTTGTGTGTTTTCTTTTTAATTAATTGATTAATTAATTCATTGGTTAATTTTAAACTTTGGTTTTTTTCTTTTTCATTGATGTATCGAGATTGACCTTGAGGCTAGAGTTGCATTTTGAAGGTTATTGTCTATGATTTTGGCCTAAAGTGCAGTATCCTGCTATAGCTAGAACTGTCACCTAGAGCTGAGTAAACCATCACTATGACTAGCATCTGCCTTGTATCTGTGGCAGCTCTAGAGAGAGGCAGGAAAGATCCTGGAGAGGAGAAGAAGCAGCATGGGTGGCCAGAAAAGCGAGGGCACTGTAGAGGACTGCAGGGTTCTCAAACTTTGTTTTGGTTCAGAGGCAAGTGAAAAAGGGCTCAAGAAGAGGAAGGATGGTACTCGGACTATCACTTCAAAGTGAGAGGGTACTTATGCAAATTTCTCAGTTATTAGAATTACAACCTTTAGGGAAACTCACTGTTTGGGAATGAGTGTTTCACAAGAGTTAAATATAGACAGTGTTATGTGAGTTCATCAAATTAGGAATGTCAGAATTAATCTGGATGGGCTAAGTTTTATGGCATTCATAAATGCAAAATCTTAGTGGCTTAAACCAACAAATATTTATTTCTTGTGCACACTACCTATCCTTAGAACTCCAACAGAAATTGCCCATATTTTGCCATAATTCCTTATATCATAATTCAAGTAGACAGCACAAAATAAAGATGTTAATTGCTGTTCAGTGATGACGGAATTGCCCATCCTAGTGATGACTCTTTTTCACAAAATAAATGTCTATGGAAAATTGGGGTTGAAATTCTTAACAGAGAATATAAGGTGAATATTAATGATGACCCAGTTTTAAAAGATAGGCCTAATAAAATATAACTTACTTCATTAAAATCCCTAGAGGTTTATTTTATTTTATTGCGAGGTCTTGATTTTATGGCAGACCTTGGAAAAGCACTTATAGGTTATTGGAGATGTGGTAATCCCAAAATGGACAAATGACAACAACTTTATGAATTCGTGGATAGTAAAAGTAATTCCCCAACAAACTAGTGGAGTATTCTGTGAAGACCTCTATTGGGCTGATAGAGTTTCTTAGCATTCTTAGGTAGTATGTTTCACACTGATGGTTTCCAAATATGAAGATTACTATTCAGTGGTTTGAAATGGAACCCTGGAATCTAGTTTTTTACAAAGCTCCCCAGCAGATTTTGATATAATTAGTCTGCAATGTGGACATTTAAAAAAAAGTGAAACCTATATTTTCAATTTGGTGGATGGAAACATGAAGGGGTAGAATGTAAACATAAAGTTATTGGGACTAATGAACATTCAGTTCAGTATAAATTGAAGATTATTTTAAACCATAAGGCTATGGGTTTATTTTATTACTCTTGGACTGATGCTCTAATTTCTACCCACGGCTCTGTCACTAATTTCCTATGTGATTTCAGGTAAATCACTTACTTTAACTTCAGCTTCTTCTGAGAAATGAAATCAGGTAGATTATTAAGGAAGATCCCTAGCAGTTCTAAAACCCCATGTTTCCAATTACCTTAAAGGGGTGTGTGGGATATATATATAGGGGCCAGATGTTTAATGTAAGCTCTTTGTGGCAATTACTATGGAGAGAAGGGTGTAGCATAAACGTCTGGCCTGGTTCTACCACCTTCAAAAAATGCCGACTATTTCTAGGGAAGGTCAGTAGGCTGCAGGCTATTGATGGGGTGGGGGTAGGGGTGTGTTCAGGACATGCTAGCCCAAAATACGGCACTTTGGCATATTGAATATTTCAAGCTGAATGAATTTGAGCAATGGCATGTGCAGGAAGGATTTTCTGATCTTCCAACTAAGCAGGTCATAAAACCTTCATGTGAGAGGTGCCTTTTCCCCCAGAGGAAAGAAGCATCCTTATTTCTGAGGTCGAAGGGACAAAGAGGAATCTGAGTGAACAGGCCTTGCTAAGTTTCCTCCACTTTACTACACTTACCTCATACCCTTTGTCCTATCATATCCTTCCACTACTTTCCACTCTTCATCAAACCTAGCATAAAAACACTCAGGCTGAACCATTTCTTCAGGTCTTCACTTCTTTATGAAGGCTCCTGTGTCATGTAAGACTTATATTAAATAAATGTGTATACTTTTTCTTGTTAATCTATCTTTAGTTATAGAGGTCCTAGTTGAGAACTTAGAAGGGTAGAGGAAAAAGATATTTTTCCTCCCCTACAGTTATGTATATCACAATTGAGCAAGTCATGGGGTCCAAGAGATCATATCAACCACTTGAAGACTGACTTATCTGGACATGACCTCAAATAGAAAAGTATAGCATGGACTCAATAATAAATTGGGAGATAACAGGGAAAACAAAGCTAAGCATCACATCAAAGTAGGATCCTGCAGGGCATGATTTTATTCTAGTGGTTTAAATACGTTCCCATCCCATCTCTTATTTACCTCGTGCCCCTCTTATTAATGAGGAAATAGCAGAGACTGAATAGGGAGGCATCAGTTTAATTTGACAAACTTGCCTAAATTGAGAGAGTCTGAATTAGCTTTGACCCAGAGAAAGAGCTGAACTGAGAACCCTGAGGTTTGCAACTCTAAACAAATCCTGACTCCTTTCTGATGTATTTCTGCCAAAGACAACCTGACTGAGGTTACGTAGAGATCATTTTTCTACAAAACATGGCCAACTAGGCTCAAGGCAAAATTTCAAGACATAATTTATCTTCGGCCTTCTTCAAATACTTTCTCTCTCCCCCTGCCCCTAACCCTCAATACAGGAAATGTGCAAAGTCTACACAGCCTGTAAAAGTCTACCAATTTAAGGGCTTATAATATGTGAAAGGCATTTTTGATACACATACATAGTGCCACCCATTAAGATGCTCATGTTTATGATTTAGTAGGAAAAATAGAATGCTGCAATGGAGATATTAACAAGAACAATCAAATTCACAGGCACAGAGAAGCCTTCCTTACCGCCAAATTCTAAAATAATTGCTTTCCCCAACTCCCATAGAGTACTGTGATCTGGCTATCACAATGCACTATGAATGTCGATTTAACTAAATCCTCTTTGAGTATCAATATTTTGAAGGAGTTCTCTTTTAACCTAAAAAATCTTCTAATTAGTGAAATTCATTCAGCAGTGAAAGGTCTCTCCGGACCTTCAAGTTTTAATCTGCAAGTCTCAATCTTAGCTTTCGCCACCAACGCCCCCCTTCATCCCTTCAAAGTTGATGGAATCAAATGCCTTGAATTGAAGGTTTTGGTAATTCAGATCCCTTGAGCAAAAAACCAGAAATAACGGGGTGGGAGGTGGCGGGGTCAGAAAGGGTGTGCAAATTTTTCGAGCTTGGGGATTGCAAACGTGGAGAAATGACGCCACCTCCTGGTAAGGCATGGGAACAGGCAGAGTAAAAGCCGACTGCGACTTGCAGGCTAATCAGCTGCTTTCATTTCAAAGCATCAAGCCGCGCCTCTCCGGCGCCCGCAGACCCCCCGAGACCCGCCCCCGTCGGCGGCTCTAACCACTCAGTGCTCCCCGCGCCACGTGATTGACAGGGCAACAGCCCGGTCCGTTACCTAAACTCGTCACTTCGGAAACAGTGACCCGATCCTTCCGGAAGCTCAGGGTCCGCGCTCTCCCAGCATCCCTTGCCTTCCGGCTATGCTCAGTCCCGTCCGGCCAGTCCCGCCTTGCGCGCCCATTTCGAGCCCGAGTTTCGAGCTCGACTTTTCGGGCTCGAGAACTCGGCCCAGATTTCCCGGGACTGGGTTCTTGGGCAGTGGCGATGGGGGCAGGAATGGCGCAGCTGGAGGGTTACTACTTCTCGGCTGCCCTGAGCTGCACCTTTTTAGTGTCCTGCCTCCTCTTCTCCGCCTTCAGCCGGGCGCTGCGAGAGCCCTACATGGACGAGATCTTCCACCTGCCGCAGGCGCAGCGCTACTGTGAGGGCCGTTTCTCCCTTTCCCAGGTGGGGTCCCCACCCTGTCCCCACCCTAGGGCCGGCCAGACCCCGCCCCAGCGCTGTTCTCCCACCCTTCTCCTTCGCTTCCTCTGCGCCACTCTCTCAGCCTCGAAACGTGAAAGGGACTGGCTCATCTTTTGTTCCTGTGTCTCAGATCTGTGAAATATTTGTTAAATGAATGAGTTAACAGCAGCTCTGTCTCCTAGCAAGAGATTAACTGATGCTCTGGGAGATTAACTAATGGGGAACTGAGTTCCTGCCCCTCTTCTTGGCAACTGATGAGAGCTGTCTGAGTTTTTCTTCCCCAATCCTGGGATTAGAGGCATTGGGCCGCTCCGAGGAAATGTCAGAATACTTCACTTTAGCTCACCTGTCAGGCACCGAACTGTGTATTTTGTGGGTGGGACAGATGGGGAGAGAGGGATCTTCAGCCTCCAGAAGTGACAAGTTACATTAATTCCATCTCTGGTGTTTTTAGGAGCCTTCTATTAACTGAGTAAACTGGTAGCCAGTGAAGTGGCTTGTATGTTTGAATATGTAATTGACTACATAAGTACATAGATACTAAAATAGATATATTATTCTTCCTCTTCTCGTGAAGCAATATAGAGTAGTGGGTAGAAATACAAAGTCTGTAGTTAGAGAAAGACCTAATTTTAAGCCTTGGCGCTGTTATTTACTAGTTATGTGACCTTGGAAATTTTCTGACTTACAGGTTACTCATCTGAAAATGACAGTAATAATGGTGTCTACGGTAGGGCGTGTTGCAGGATTAAATACAGAGGGTTTAGCACAATTTCTGGCTCGCTACATGATAGCTGTCATTACGCAGCCTGTGGTTTAATCTCTTTAAACACTTCTTTCTCTCCAGACCCATCAGAGGTCCAGCCGATGTTTCCATGCTTTTTAAAACTGGAGCATTTGCAATTTAATCACCAAAATACAGGCTCACCAACGAGTGGGGCTTGGAAAATAGAAACTGATTTTAAGTTGTTGTCGTCTGCTGGTTGCTGATACCTTAACAATCACAAAGCTGGTGCAGGGGTAAAATATAAGCAAAACTTTCCTCTAGAGGAGGCATCTGCTCTGCCTAGGACTTATGTAATTGTGTTCTGGGATAACTTCTCAAAATGCCTGATTATTGGTAAAGATGTTTTTGAGCTTGACATCTTTGTGTCAGTCCTGTCGGTATTACCTCTTTTGCTTCCTTGTCGGCCTTTGATTTTTAAGTGGGATCCCATGATTACTACATTACCTGGCTTATACCTGCTGTCGGTTGGAGTCGTCAAACCTGCCAGCTGGATCTTTGGATGGTCGGAACATGTTGTCTGCTCCATTGGGATGCTCAGATTTGTTAATCTTCTCTTCAGTGTGGGCAACTTCTATTTACTATATTTGCTTTTCCGCAAGGTACAACCCAGACAGAAGGTACGTTTTCAGAATAATTTATTATAAGCTTATGTGCAGTTAGGTCTACAATTCTGATGACTTGGTTTTATGAGATTTGGTGAAAAATGTCTTTAACGCTTAGTATTTTTGTATATTTTGTAAAGATAAAGCAATTCCCCCACGCCCATTTTAGAAGAAATTTCTAAATACTTGAATAACTTATTTATTTGTAAAGTCTAAAGTAAATATTTGTGAATCAAATGAGTTCAGTAAATATTTCTTGAGTTTATTCCGTGTGCTAGGCACTGAGACTACAGAGGTAAATAAGGCGTTCTTTTTCTGGAACATTTATCTTCCTTAGGGAAAACAGACTTTACGTGAGAAATTTTGATGTGATTTAAGAACGCAGGCCTTGGAAGTGGATTGCCTGGGTTTGAAGACTATCCGTTTACTAGTGTTACTTTGGGCAGGTTACCCTTTAGAGACTCCATGTCTTCATCTGTTAAATGGCAATAATATAGAATCTGTGTCACAGGACTATTATGAAGAGTAAAGGAGCTTAATGAATGGAAGGTGCTTAGAATCGTGCCTGATATAATAGTAAAGACTCAATAAATATTAGTTATAATAATTATTTTTAAATTATTTCAATAGTGTAAATTGTGAGAGGGAGATAGGTCCGAGATGCTATGAAGAAACAGAGGAGGCGTAGAGGAGCATTTGTTTTAGCCTGACTGGGAGGGAGGCATTGGGTAAGGCTTCTTTGAGAAGATGGTACCTGAGCTGAATCTTGATGAACAGATAGTGCTTTTGGGTAGGGAATGAATCCTGGCAGGAGAAAAAGCATAAGCAAAGGTAGAAAGTCATTGAATAACAAGATAGAGGGAATTGCTATTTGGAATCACAAGATTATAAAGTACGGGGATGTGAGACTGGAGAAGTAGGTAGGGGTGAAGTCCTGAACATTCTTAATGTCATGGAAAGCATTTTGAGCTTTATCTAGTAGGTGATAGACAGCTCTTAATTTAATCAAGGGGATGACATGGGCTGGTTTGGTGATTTAGATTAAGTGGAGTATGCAATTCAAGGAAATAAGAAAACTTTCCGATTCTGGAAGTCAGAAGGCCAAAAGAAGATATTTAACTTTAGATGGGGCCAATATTTTCAGGAAAATGCCTGTAATTTCTTCATGTAATAGTAAGATCATTGGATATGGTAGTATAAATGCTAGATACGTATTTACATTCTCCCCAGTGTAGAGTTCTAAAGAGAAATCTTTAAAAGAAGTTGGTGATGATGGCTAAATGAATGCTTATTGAAGGCACTAGGACTTAAGCACAGAGAAATGGAACCACCTGTCCTGTGTCCCATTCATTTCCATCTTCCCCATAGAATTTAGTTCAGTGTCCTGCACACAATAACTTTTAACTATTTGTTGAATGATTCAAAGTATTTTAGGCCATAGAGGCTTTGGCACACATGTATTGTCTTTTTTTTTCATGTATTGTCTTAATGGCTTCCAAACTGATAGGTGTAACTAAAAAAGCACCAGAAAGTATCTTCATAAATGTATATAGTCATGCATCACTTAACGACGGGGATGCATTCTGAGAAATGCATTGTTAAGCGATTTCATCATTGTGCGAACATCATAGAGTATACTTACACAAACCTAGATGGTATAGCCTCCTACACACCTAGGCTCTATGGTACCAGTCTTATGGGATCACCATGGTATATGCTATCCATCATTGACCGAAACATCATTAGGCAGCGCATGACTGTATTATGTTTTGTAAAGCCAGAAATAAGATTAATATTGAATAATTTTATTTAAATAAAATTCAGGTAGTTTTTTATTTTTTAATAAATCTTTTAATTAGCTCAGAAATAGCATATTTGTTTTATCATGAAAATAACTTTAACTGTGTTTTTTCTTCCTCCTAGGCTGCCTCAAGTATCCAGAGAATCTTGTCAACGTTAACATTAGCAGTATTTCCCACACTCTATTTTTTTAACTTCCTTTATTATACAGAAGCAGGATCCATGTTTTTTACTCTTTTTGCCTATTTGATGTGTCTTTATGGAAATCATAAGACTTCAGCCTTGCTTGGATTTTGTGGCTTCATGTTTCGCCAAACGAATATCATCTGGGCTGTCTTTTGCGCAGGGAACATCGTTGCACAGAAGTTAACTGAAGCTTGGAAAACTGAGCTACAAAAGAAGAAGGAAGAGAGGCTTCCTCCTATTAAAGGACCATTTTCAGAATTCAGGAAAATTCTTCAGTTTCTTTTGGCTTATTCTATGTCCTTTAAGAACTTGAGTATGCTTTTTCTTTTGACTTGGCCCTACATCCTCCTAGTGTTTATGTTTTGTGTTTTTGTAGTAGTTAATGGTGGAATTGTTATTGGCGATCGGAGTAGTCATGAAGCCTGTCTACATTTTCCTCAGCTATTCTACTTTTTCTCTTTTACTGTCTTTTTTTCTTTTCCTCACTTACTGTCTCCTAGCAAACTTAAGGCTTTTCTTCGCTTAGTTTGGAAACGTAGAATTCAGTTCTTTGTGATTACCTTAGTTTCTGTATTTTTAGTTTGGAAATTCACTTATGTTCATAAATACCTACTAGCAGATAATAGACATTACACATTTTATGTGTGGAAAAGAGTTTTTCAAAGATATGAAATTGTGAGATATTTGTTAGTTCCAGTCTATATATTTGCTGGTTGGAGTATAGCTGACTCATTGAAATCAAAGTCAATTTTCTGGAATTTAATGTTTTTCATATGCTTGTTTACTGTTACAGTACCTCAGAAATTGCTGGAATTCCGTTACTTCATTTTACCTTATGTTATTTATAGGCTTAACATACCTCTGCCACCCACATCCAGACTTCTTTGTGAGCTGGGTTGCTATGTAATTGTTAATTTCCTGACTTTTTATATTTTTCTGAACAAGACTTTTCAGTGGCCAAATAGTCAGGACATTCAAAGGTTTATGTGGTAATATCAGGGATATCTTGAACTCTAAATATAGACTTATTATTTAGACTGTTTCCACAATGAAGAACGGAACAGGTAAAAATTAACAGACTTTCTTTTAGGTGCAATGGTGATCCCCAGATCACATCATATTTTTTTGTGTTTTACACATCAGATATAAGTGCTTTAAACATATATAACAAATCCAAGGAAGTTAGGTGGTAAAGAACTGAGAAAAGTTTAAGAGTTGCTCCATAAGCCTAAATAATAATGGGAAAATAAAATTGTTTACAGCTATCTCATATCTCTCTTGATACTGCTGGCCACTCAAAAACTTGGAAACTTTTTATAGATACAAGTTTAAAAAATTGGGCATGCTTTATTTTAGTGGAACTTTTTTATTCTCTTCAGAAAGCAATAGTAGACACATTATTTGAAAAATATTTACAAATGATCAGATAATATTCTCGATTGAAAATTTGCTTAACATTTCAGTAAATATAATTTTAATCATAAGGCAAAATAGACTCACATAGTAAATGCTATAAATTAGAGGCTTATCTGCATTTATCTAGGAATCAAGTTGTTGATTTTTGTTAAAAATCTAGAAATGATGCTCTTTCACTAATTCCTAATATGAAATATATGATGGCCAAAGATTAATTGTGTTGATGATAATACCTTATAAAAGGAATTTTGTTTCTAAAATACATTACTATATTAGTTTCTATTGCTGCCATAACAAATACCACAAACTTGGTGGTAAAAAAATATTCTCTCACAGTTCTGGAGGCCAGAAATCTAAAATTAAGGTGTCGGCAGGGTTCATTACTTCTGGAGGCTCTGAGGGAGAATCTGTTGCATGCCTCTCTCCTACCTTTTGGTGGTTGTCTGCAATCCTTAGTGTTCCTTGGTTTATAGATGAGTCATTCCAATCTCTGCCTCTGTCTTCACATGGCCTTCCCCTCTGTCTTGTCTTCTTTCTCTTATAAGGACAATGTCATTGGATTTAGGGCCCACCCTAAATCCTAATCCAGGATGGACTCATGTTGAGATCCTTAACTATATCTACAAAGACCCTTTTTCCAAATCAGTTCACATTTACAGGTTTCAGGTAAATATATCTTTTTGTGGGACACTTTTCAACCCACTGAAAGTTACCAAAGGAGATTTTAGGATAAACTTCATAAAACTTGTAGGAAATAATTTCTTTGCTGATATATTTTAAATAAAATTAATCTTCACTGAGAGGATAAAAACAAGTGACTTCCAAGCTCACATAATTATAAAACTAAAGGTAACTGGTATTTGATTTCATTATCCAAAAAAAGTTAGAATTGAAAGGAAATTTAGAAATCATTTGATCTAGTCTTGTTTTGTAGGTTAGGAAACAACTGCTTGGGTAGGATTATTTTTGTGTTGGTTTGTGGATTCTGTGTCTACTATTTTGAGTACATTCATTGGGTTATCATTCCATTACAGAAAAATATTATTTGGCCATGTTAACTTTGACATGTAAACTTAGAACTGTGAATAGAATTCGTCTTTTAATCTAATTTTATGTTTGTAAACTTTTTAAAATAACTGAACAAAATTACTTTGTCTTCAGTGTTGGATTGTGGGTTCTCTGGCTTTTAAATAATGAGTGGATTTGAAAAGTATTCTGCATTTGCAAATAGAAAATTGTGTACAGGTGAAAATTACAAGTGTAGTTTTGAGTAAGAGAGAGCAGTCTTTTGTTGTACTCTATTCAGTACTTAGAAAATATATTGACTCTTTAGTTATAACAGTAATTGTAGGACAACATTTTTACCCGAACTTTTTTTTTCAATTAGATAAGAAAGCACATGCAAGGAAATTATTATTTTGTAATGGAAATCTGAGTTCCAGTAAGTCAAAATTGAAAAAAATTTGTAATTTAGGAAAAACAACTTCCTTGTCTGATACTATCAATGCAAGACTTTTGTGTTTAGGAATAGTTCTGAGACAAAAAAAACTTTTTTCTCTAATCTAGTCTGGCAACATGACAACACAATTCCACCCTATAGATTGGGGGAATCACTGTTCCAAATCATCTTTAAGTGTTGAGTCCCTGCTGTTTTAAGAGGTGTTTTGGAGAAAATCTGCATTCACAGGTTCATCTTCTGTGTTATCCATAGAGTACGTAACGTACAGCACTTAACATTTTAGAAAAGAATGCTGTGAATTAAAAGGTGCTATAGAGCGTTGCTTTTAGAAACATCCTAATTTATATTTGTGTTTTTAATATTTTTCAAGAGTTATCAAATAGATATTTTTGACATGAATTTTTAAAAATTAGACATAGTTGAATTTCTGGATTAAGAAAAAATGTATTGATCACTTAGAGAACCTGTGGAGCCTTGCAATTATTGGTATTAAAGTCTGTAAGTAGGATTATTTTAAAGAACATTATTAAAAGATTTAGCCCGTAAAGTTTTTAGGCCCAGTAATAAGTCTTTTTGAACTTTTTCTACTGTAAATATAGAGTATTATCTAGTTTGAACGTAACTGCCACTGGACCTGACTTGTTTTTTTCTTTATAATTGTCTGAAGACAAGAGAGGAGAAGAAAAGAGATCCTCAATTTTTATTTATACCCTCTAAATAGTAGACGATTATTTTAGACTGACTTGTAAGTAAAATATTCGTATAAAAAAGTAAATTCATGTTCATTAGGTTAGAGAGCATTTATTATCTTTGAAGCAATTAGAATTTCATTAAAAAGTAAAACAAGAAAGAAGTATCATACAAACAATATGAAAAAGTTTTTTCTAGTGAAAATTTGATATGACTTAGGAACTGTGAGCTTGTAGAAAAAGCATTTAACATGAGAGTTAGGATTTCTACATGTGATTATGGCTCTGGAATCAATAAAAGCAAGTGGTTTAATCTTTGGTCTTCATTTCAAATGAGAATAGTATTTGTCCTGACTCTAGTCAGTGCCTGGCACGTGTCTAGCTTATTTCAAAAGGAATTCAGGCCCTGCCGTTTATCCATCAAGTTCATAAATATATCGTATAATAAATATTGAGTAAGTGTATACTAAATGAAGTTTTTAATGTAGAATTAAGTGCATATACTAGAAAAAATGTAGTAAATAATCATAAGCTAATTTTAGGAAATAAATCACATGCTTCAGAATGAGATCCCTTCTAACCCTTTTTCTGCCTAAATTTTCTGACCTAGTTTTTAAAATTTTCATTTACTATAGTGTTTAATACTTACACATATATTTACTTGTAAATATGTTATATGTGGTTTTATAATGGGATGTGATTTCAAAATTATTGCAGTTTATTTAAAATAAGAAAAATAACCTTTAACCATTAAATTCTAATAGCAGTAGAACTCGTGATGGTTATTAGATTTTTAAGGGAAAAGAGATTTCAACCAATTACAAATATTTTGTGTTATTTTAGTTAGGCTGCATTTTACTACTTTAGGGATAACTGTTAATTATCTTTTGTTTAGGATACTTTTTTATGTATTTAAATGTTGACAACAAGACAAATATTTCCCATATACTAAAACTTGTGTAGCTGAGAAAATTATATTAAAAATTGATAGATTGAGGATATATTTTTTAACACATCTATGAATCCAACTCTAAATTCTTTAACATTGGGAAATTACTTCTAGGGTAAGAAATTTTGTCACAGTGAAGTAATCCAATAATATCTTTATATTGTGCTTTTTAAAAAATGAGCATTTGATGAATTCAGTGTTAATTTAATTTGAGCTCAGTGTATTGCCGTCCGACCAAAAGACATGGTATTTTTCTGACAATAAAAATATTAAACATCGTATCGATTTTTCACACTGACTGAAACTTAAGTCAATGCAGTTCAGGTAAACCAGGTATGTGTGTGTGTGGCACATACAAAATGAGGTAGAGAGGGCAGAGAAGTAATAGTAACAATAATGATTGCTATCATTTATTGAGCACCTATGGTGTTCTAGGCATTATATTGGCTGATTTACAGATATTGTCTCATTTGATCCTGTTCATATTCCCATGAGGCACTTGTTATTTCTGTTTGACTGCTGGAGAAACTAGAGGTCAAGAAGCTCAGGTAACTTGCCCGAAGTCACCAGTCACTTAAGGACATAGAGTGGTCTGACTCCCTGTGAGTTTTTGACTGCTACTGGCCTCACAGTGCAAGTCTTTCATTAAGAGAAGTAGAATATGGAGAGAGGTGAAAATCTGTCTTTACAGTAGCCAGACCATTCATGGCATATTATTTTTTGTATTGGGTATAGTCATTTTTAGAAATGCTAGAAGCTGTTTAAAGGAGCAGGAATAGATGATGAGTGTTTATAATTGTGTAGCAAGAGAAATGGCTAAAAGAATAGGATGTTTCACTTGGAGAAGCAGAGATTCTGTAAGTTGATAAGCTCTCATAATTGAAGAATAATTATTTGGAAGAAGAATTGGGTTATTCTATAGTCCCTGAAGTATAAATCCAGGGCCAACAGATTTCAACTTATGAAAAACACATTTTCAAATTGTTTAGTGTCTGCAAGGAAAAAAAGTAAGCTTGCCTGCTCACTGGAGGCAAGATTTCTATTAGCGATGCTTCAGAAGCGATTCAGATAGCAAGTAGATAGAGTAAAATGGCTTTTTAAGGTGCCTTATAACCCTAGGGTTTGAAATTCTTAGGTTTGTTACACCTCATATTTTTTGTGTTAATTGATAAGTCATAGTGAAGTATTTCTGGCACCTTGCATGCTGTCTTCGATATATTCTAAATTTCTGAACAAAAACTGTACTTTAGCTCTGTTACCTTGTTTTAGAAACAAATTTGAGATACACAACTTAGTAGGAGGTATTTTTAGCTATAGTGTTTGAGAGTACTGCTAGTATAGTATTTGTTTTCTATTTTCTTAATCCCTTTTACCTTAGTAAAGAGAATGTGCTTCTATTTGAAAAGGTTCTTTCCCTTAAAGATAAATAGCACAAGCACTATCTATAGAATTTTTTTAAATGCAATATCCACTAGGTGGTGATATTGTGCTACAATTCCAAGTGTTCTTGTGATTAAACTTAGTCTGAGTTAACTTAAGTTTTAAGTTTTGAACCACAAGGTAATTTATAGCATCTATGTCTATGTATTATAATGTTATTCAAAATGTTTCCTGAATTGTATGAAGCTAAGGTAAATTAAAAAATCATGTTTGTGTTTTGGAATCAAATATTAGGTGATTTAACTTAATATATCTTCCCATATGACATTCTTTACTTCATATGGCGTAGTCAAGATCTTTTCCCACAAACAGTGGGTAATGATGACAAATACGGGAACTTATATAGCATTCTACTAGCCACTGTTTTAAGTGCTTTACTCACGTTATTTATGCTCTTAACAACTTTAGGATCAGTACTATTGTTAATATCTCCACTCTACTGAGTAAGGAAACTCAACATAGGTTAAGCATTTTGCCCAAGATTACAAAATAACTGGCTGAGCTGGGATTCAAACCTAGGCAGGCTGACACCAGAATCCATGTTAACTATGATCAACTGGTGGGGAGAAGAGGTAAGGTCACAAAGTCTACCTTCAAATTCCTAACATTTTAGAAAGAAAAATAATCATAGAGGAGGCAGTTAATATTCCCTATTTTTGTAGGTTAGGAAGACG